AATGAGAAATTAATTTTATCTTTTTATCTAAAAATGTGAAATGGTTCCCTAAGCATTTTGGAGTTGAGATTTAGTCTTTGATGGACTTCTTAAACATGGGGTATAGTTCTTCAAGTTGGTTGAGGGTTCTAAGGAGAAGGTTGTATTGGTCATCCCAAAGCCAAAGGGGAGTTTGAAAGCAGCGAATACAACTCTTAATCAAGATAAAATAAAATAAAAAATCCTTAGAGAAAACATAGGCGTCATGAATTGAAACCTCTATCTCTCAAGTTTGGGGAACGTCACCTAAATATTTATCAAATTGTATTAAAAAAAAAAAAACTAAACAGAATTAGAGAGATAACAGAATGAAAAATTTTTGGAATCTAATTTTCAAAAAAATGTAAAACTTTATGAGACTATGCATGAAATAGTATTACAAGACATTAATAAGTGAAAAATAAAGAAAAACCACATAGATGAAATTACCTTCATGTCAGATAGAGGAGGTGTACAAGTGTCCAAACTAGAGCTTGATGAGATGAACGTTTTTAATACAGGGCAGCTCTCGATCAAAAGTTGCGAAAGACGGGGGAATTCGATGTAATTCCCATGGCAGAACCTTTCCAGTTTTGGAAGGCTTTTTATCTCTAGAATCCTCAATTGAGGGAAAATCAAACTTCCATTTTCTGCTTCATTCTCTGTAAAAATAACCTTTCCCATCTTCCTGCATCCCTCTATTTCAAGGTGTCCAAGCATCACCAGATCTCTAGCCATAGAAGATGTGAATAGATATTCCAAATTATCACAGTTCTTAATGATCAACTTCTTCAATTTCTCAATATAAGAAGATGCTATCGAAGTATGCCATATGCTTTCAACATTAATCCAAGATAATTGCAACTCCTCTAATTTTGGAAATGCAACCTGCATGGCATACAATTCTTCAGCTGCTTAAAATTTATGGTTTTGGTTATAGATAAAAAAAAATAAAAAGAGCAAAAAAAAAAAAGAAAAAGGATGATATCACGTTAAAAATAGTAGAGCTTAGGTACTACTATTGTTAAAGTAATGCAAATTAAAGAGGAGTACTATATTTAGAAGTTATTGCATATCAATCCTAACTCAAAGAAAATTAGACTTTCAATCTATATTGAAAGTCTATATTTAGAAACTAAAATTTTAATTCAAAATTCAAAACCCCAATTAGTTTTCAAATCTAAATGTCAACATTTAATAAAATAAATTTTTAAATTTTAGCTTAAATTTTAATTAAGTAAAATGACGTAATTTAAAGTTAAAAATTCCATTTTTTAAAGTCATGACTGATATGCAATTTTTCTTTATATTAATCTATTTTTTTAATATATACAAATACAAAATTGAATAATCATTATTTAATACACAGCTTCAAAAGAATTATAAATAATGAGAAATTAATTTTATCTTTTTATCTAAAAATGTGAAATGGTTACCTAAGCATTTTGGAGTTGAGATTTAGTCTTTGATGGACTTCTTAAACTTGGGATATAGTTCTTCAAGTTGGTTGAGGATTCTTAAGGAGAAGGTTGTATTGGTCATCCCAAAGCTAAAGGGAGTTTGAAAGGAGCGAATACAACTCTTAATCAAAATAAAATAAAATAAAAAATCCTTAGAGAAGACGTAGGCGTCATGAATTGAAACCTCTATCTCTTCTCCCTCATTGATTTCCACTTTATATTTTCTTTGCTTGATTTAAGATTTGTTTAGTATAACTGTTAAAATCTAATATATAGCAGATAGTAAATAGTAAATAAAGGTAATGTGCAATAAGTGACATACTAAAAAATGAGCAATATACAGTAAATAGTAAATTATAATTGATATAATTATTTACTTATATAATAAAAATAATTTTTATTTAACATTAAATTACTAATAAAGATATGTTTAAAAGGAATTAAATGTATTTTTAAAATTTTTTATCATTAAAATTATTAATTTTATAAAAATAATAGTAAAAAATAAATAAAATAAAATAATAATAGTAAATAAAATTATTAATTTTTTTAAAATAATAATAATAAATAAAATATAAAAAGATAAATCACACTCATTTTTACTTTTAACAAAGAAAAAAATTATATTATTTTCAAATTAAAAAAATAAAATTTTAATCATTTCATCTAATTAGTAAATTTTATTTATTAAACTACTATAATTTTTTATGATAAGTTAATGTAAAAAAAAATATAATGATCTTAATGTTATTTTAAAAAATGAAATTAAAACTAATTAACTAAGTACTAATTAAAAACCATTACAAAATTTATAAAATTAGAAAGGAAAATTTTGTTAATAAAATTAAAAAATTTCAGTTCATTAGCAATATGATAGAAAGCTACCTAAACTAACTTTTTTAATCTGCTAACAATTTGATTTTAACAATTATATGCAAGTCCCAACCACTAAATAAAAAATTTTACCAACCACTAAATCAAAAATTTTACCATACTTAGTTTGTAATAATTTCAAAATAAACAAATCAACCAAACACTAATCTTATATTCATTTGAACAAAATCACTAATCACTACCACTAAATTGCTCTTTCAAACAGGTTCTTAATAAAGTTTTAATTAAGTTATTCAATGGTAATTTCTCCTCAATAAAAGTAACAATCCTAAATTGAATGGCATGACATGTGAATGAGAAGAGTTAAGATATGCAAAATAATTACCTCTCATTGTATAGCATAAGATTAAAAAAACCTTTAATTTGTATTTAATTAATTTAAAATTGTTAAAGTTTATTAAAATTTACTAGGGACAACAAAGCTTTTATTTGTTTGCGATGTGCTATATTATGGCTATAGTGTAGGTTTTTTTTAAACTTTTATTACCTTAAAAATATATAAAGTATTAATTAAAATTAATAAAAGAATATAAAAACTTAATTAAGATTAATTAAAGTTTAAGAATTAAGATTTTACATTTTTAAATAAGGCGTATGTGAAAATAAAATGCGCATAATATTGTCAAATAAAGCCTAAATTTTTAAATTTGAGAATTATTTTTGACTTAATTAATTATTTAATTTTTCTTTTTATCTAAAAATTTTTTAACTTTATATTGACTAACAATAATTATGACCCATGCAACACAAAAACATTAAAGACTATTGTTCACATAAAATCTCATATATTAGTAATATCAATAATATAAAAGAATAATCAAAGTTA